TGGGTTAATCTATGACTCAAATGCAAAGTCAAATGTAAGTCATGGTTTAATCTGTGAATCAAATGCCACAACAAATCCACTAATATTTCTCAGTGATGATCCTTCTGATTGGCCTGATAATGTTTCTGACGCTCAGAAGTGTGATGTTGTTAAACGAGGTTTAAAAAAGATTGAAATCGACTTTCCAAAAAATTCAGAAAGAAGACGATTTTCCATGAGTTATTATAACCGCAAAATGAAAAATGGAGAAATCTTTGAAAGATCATGGCTTATATATTCTTTAAATAGTGATAAAGTGTTTTGTTTCTGTTGCAAACTTTTTGGGATAACTTCTTCACCCTTTCGAAAAGGAATAAACACGTGGGAAGGCTTATCAAAAAAACTTAAAGAACACGAAACATGCAGTGCACATTTAAAATGCTTTGAACATTGGATGACATTACGAAAAGGTAACTGATATTTCATTTAACTTGTTTTGTTACTTTTTTTATTGCTAAAATATTAATTTTTTTTCAATTTTGACAATGCAGGCATAGCAAATCAAGCTACCATAGACGAGCAACAACAAAAGTTGCTTCATAAAGAGCGGGTATTTTGGAGATCTGTGTTGGAAAGGATACTGGACATTACGTTATTTCTTTCAGCAAGAAATCTTGCATTCCGTGGATCAGACACGGCAATTGGTTCAAAAAGCAATGGAAATTTTCTTGGGGTGTTTGAATTACTGGCTAAGTACGATGCCGTCTTTAAGGAGCTTCTGTTAAGAATTCAGGACAAAAAAACAAACGCTCACTATTTGAGCAATGACACACAGAACGAGTTGATTAGATGTTTAGCGCAGGAGATTGAATCAGAAAACCTTTCTATGGTAAAAAAAGCAAAATACTATTCGGTTATTTTAGATTGCACGCCAGACGTTTCGCACAAAGAACAAATGAGCATAATTTTAAGATCAGTGACATGTACTTCTAGAGTTGGTATTAACATTTCCGAAAATTTCTTTGGATATCTCACAGTAAATGATACCACTGGAAAAGGGCTTTTGGATGCCTTTTTAAATCAGGCAAAAAAATGGGATCTAAATATTCTTGATTGTCGAGGCCAATCTTATGATAATGGTGCTAACATGAAAGGAAAACTTAAAGGTGTTCAAGCCAGGCTTCTAGAAATGAACCCAAAGGCTATATATGTTCCATGTGCAAATCATTCACTGAATCTTGTTATTGTTGATGGTGCACTGTCATCTATCAGTGCAATATCTTTTTTTGGAGTTCTTACAAGATTGTATACCCTCTTTTCATCGTCTCCTCCTCGATGGGAAATTTTAAAATCGTGTGTGGAAATTTCTGTCAAACCACAATCAGATACAAGATGGGAAAGTAAAATAAACTGTGTTAAACCACTTCGCTATTATCTGAAAGAAATTTTAGAGGCACTCGACAGATTGGAAAAACATGCCTTTGAAAAGAAAGATGGGGCAACAGCCACAGAAGTACGATCTCTGATTGAATATATTAGGACATGGCCTTTCTTATTATCAATCATTATTTGGTATGACGTTTTATTTCAAATCAAAAAATCAAGTAAGCTTCTCCAGTCTTCTACAACCTCTCTTGACATATTGGCTAGTGAAATAAAAGCAACAAATACATTTCTTTATGAGTATCGTGAGACTGGATTTACTGACGCACATATTAAAGCACAAGAAATTGCAGAAGAATTGGGCATTGAAAAGATTTTTCCAACAGTGCGCTTACGAAAAAAAAAAAATGTATTCATACGAGTGTGCTGATGAAACTCGGCAACCTGAGCATCAGTATAAAGCAGATTTCTTTTTGCCACTCATTTACATGTCAATTGCATCAGTAAAGGAGCGTTTTGAACAGGTCAGTATCTTCACAAATCTTTTTGACTTTCTTTACCGGTCTGAGAGTCTTATCAAAGCCTGTAATGAAAATTCTCTTACTGTATTTTGCACAAATTTGCAAACGAAGCTCGGGGATATAGATTCTGAGGATTTGGAAATGGAGTTGAAACGATTTGTCATAGTTGTACAAGAGGACAAAAATACAAACCTGAAATCTGCATATGACTTCCTTAACTACGTCTACAAAGAAGAGCTGCAGGAAACTTATCCTAATCTAGTTATTGCGTTACGCATCATTCTTAC